GAGAATTTGGGGGACGACGGTTGATATCTGTCGCAAAATAGTATTTATGGCGGTTGGTACCATAACCGTCATAAATGCTTAATATATTTTAAAAAATCAAACGACGGTTGGCCAAAACCGTCGTAATTCATTCATTCACCGTCTTAATTTAGGTATAGGGGCGGTTCTCATGAAACCGTCGCAATCTATATGTCCCAACTTACCAATTTTCTTGTAGACGTTGCATCTACCCAAACTCGAACTAGAGACATGTTGGCCAAAAGTTAAAATATTTTAATATAGACGATCTCAACGGTAAAATACATCACATTTGTAAATAAGCAATGATTTAAATGATGTTTTCCATTACTAATTGACATAAGTTTCTCTATAAAGTATATTTTATAACAATTTCTTCTTACGACCATTTATTCAACCGAAGTAATATATATTACTTAGGCGCCTTTTATTTTTTTAAATCACGTATCACCACAGTACAAATAAACAACCATTGTAAAATGTGGATGAGTGACATACTTCAAATTTCAACATCTTAAATTTTTTGTTTTTTGTTATAAAAGAGTGAGTTCCCTTAATTTCTATTTTATATTAAAAATAAACTATTTTCAGCACGATCCAGATTAAAAACCATAGTTAAATATCAAGATATTTCACCATAATTTTTCATATTAACCGTGGTAAAATATTTTACCTATATAAGTTACCTTAATTCACATGAGAACATATTGCATTCAAAGTGAAACCGTAAGTTCTATCGCTTTATCCCAATCTCTCAAAAATCTATCATATCTTTACAAAATTCCAACATAACTTCTCCAACTAGTATGAATCAAGAAAATGTGTCACAAATCCTCGCAAGATGAAATAAGTAACTCATTTCTTTGTCTTCATTTCCACGAATCTTTTCAAGGAAATGTGTGTACGTGAAACATATTCTTCCATACATTTTATGAGTTATGATATTGTTGTTCAAAATATTTGTCCTGGTTTTCTTATTCAAAATATACGTGAAACATTTGTCTTGTTATAAATATTTGTTCAACATATAGTTTATTGTTTTCTTGTTGTTAAGATGAGATTGTAGGTTTTATATTGTTATTTTTGTTGAGATAAGTAAAGTGTTTAAGTTATTATTGAAGTATGTTGTTTTTTGTTAAGATAAGTTGTTGTTTTTGTTGTTGTATTTTTTTGTTGTTGAGGTATGTTGATGGTTTTGTTGAGGTATATTGTTATTTGGTTAAGGTAAGTTGTTTTTTTTGTTGATAAATATTGTTGTTTGTGTTATTGTAGATGCTTTTTATTTCGTATGTTGATATTTTTGTTGAGTTATGTTGTTATTTTGTTAGGTTAAGGTTATGTTTTTATTGATAAATGATGTTGTTTGTGTTATTTTATATGTTCCTGTTGATGGTTTTGTTGAGCTATGTTGTTGTTTTGAAAAAGTAAGTTATTGTTTTTGTTGATAAATATTGTTGTTTGTGTTATTGTAGATGTTTTTTTATTAAAAATGTTGATGTTTTTGTTGAGTTATGTTGTTGTTTTATTATGGTAAGTTTATATCTTTAGTGATAAATGTTGTTGTTTGTGTTAGTTTAGATATTTTTGTTAAAGTGTGTTGATGTTTTTGTTAAGTTATGTTGTTGTTTTGTTAAGGTAAATTTTTATTTTTATTTTATAAATGTTGGTGTTTGTGTTATTGTATGATGTGTTTGTATAGGTATGTTATTATTTATGTTATTCTTAATGTTTTTCCTGTACACTACAACTTTCATTCCCTTCAGTTAACATTTTGTAGAAGATGGGTTTATTATATCATACGTAGTTTGAGTGTTTTACCAACCTCTCATTGAATATATAAATTTTCAAACTGAATTAAAAAAATAGTAATATGAAAAATTAATTTATATTAAAAAATAACTTACATTGATCAATGTTTTTTTTTCGAGCTTTATGCATCCCATTATCTCTAGTAAAGTAACTAATACTTTGTAGAATAAACTAGTAGAGAAAGAAGTGTTGGTTGAAGGATTAGATCCATTGAAACAAATTCAAACTATTAAGATGCAAGATATAACTGTAGTGGAATGTTAAGAAATCTCCCAAAATATTGGTGTTGTGTATCGAACCCATGACCTTTACCTTTTATTATGGTTGGTTTCTACAACCATGGTGATATAGTGCATACTATTGTGTTTTTACTACGACTATCAATTCATTACCACTAACTCTTAACCTTGATAATATCCTTATCCAAACCATGGTAAAATATACTTTTTGTAGTAGTGTAAAAACTTAAAAAGGATTTTAAAAGAAAATCAAAGCGGCAAAATGAAGTTTGAATTGGTTGTTGTTTTTTACCTTGAAAAAGGGTTTTTGTATTATTAGAGTGTTTTGAAGTTGAAAAAAAAAAGAAGTTTTAGTTTTAATGCAAATGTAAAAGAGAAAAAAAAGTATAAGGGAAACTAGCAAAGTAAGTCTAGAGTTGTCATGTATGGTTTGCAATCTAAGGTCTATCTCAATTTGCTTCTTAAGATTGAATCGAGAAATCCTACGGGAGCATGTAAACATGCAATAAAGAGTAAACACACAAAGCTTAAGGAGTATCCACTCACTCAAGTAGCACACGCCTAATTGAGGTATCATGTTACCAAGGAAGGAAAGGGAGAGGGATCGCGCCTAACCACGATATTGTGTCATCGAGGTAGGACAAGGGAGAAGGGACACCTAACCATGATATCAGATCATCAAGGTAGGATAAAGGGATGCTTAACAAAGATATCAAACCATCTAGGCAAGAAATAATGGGGGAATAGGTAGTTCTTAACCATGATAGCACGTCGTCATGGAAAGAAGAATAAAGGGGCGTCAACTCTTAACCAAGATATCACGTTATCTAGGCAAGGGAAGAATGAGAGTGAATCATCATAAGCGACTAAAAATCTAACCAAGATATTACGTTATCGAGGTAGGAGATAGAAGACAATAATGAGATCAAATTGGAGCATCAACATGTATGACACGCGATATAATGACAAAGCATATGGGGTTGATTCTGAATCCTTCTCCACTTGACCGACTCGATACAAGAATAACATGATTCATAGCATGGACGCATGACGCGGGCTATGAATGACACATACTATAAATTGTAGGGGTCGATTGCGAACCCTCCTCCACTTGCCTTCTCTGAGGAATTATCAAAGGGGGATGGGAATGTGACACCTTAATCGAAGTCTTTGGCATAAATGTAAACACACAGAATGGAAAACAAACAAGCACAAGTAGGAATTACCTTCTAAAGGTCTTTTAAAATAGAATTTCCCACCTAAAGTAGGGACTCCCAGTCATGCATCTCTAGTCCAACTTCTTATGGTAAAGAAAGCGGTAAACAATGCAAGAGATAAAAGGAAACAGAAGAAAATACCAATTGAACACAAGTTCGTCAATTATCATATGAAAGAAAAGAAACTCGAAAACTTCGTGCAAGCCTCACCAAGCAACAGAGAAACAGTCACAAATAATGTCCAATAGCATAAACAATGTCGCAAATGCAAAAATAAATCTCATGCAAAAAGTTCGTCGCATCGAATCAAAGTCACTGCATAAGATAAGTCTATACAAGAAAGAAAATAATCCAAATGTCGCGTGTCACACGACAAAGCCTTCGAAAACTTCCACAAGTCACAAACGAGTTAGCAAATAACAACGCAACATCAAGTATCCAATTACAACTCAAAAAATGATGAAATGCCAAGGAGCAAGGTGAGAATAAGCAATGGAAGATGAAAACCAAAAATCGGGCAGAACTATGCATACAACATGAAAGCACAAAAAGTCATCGTAAAAATGCGAAAACTCAACTCCGATATCAAGTACTTGTAGAATTAGGCTTAAATATGTATTTAGAATGAATTGAAACACAATGTAGATGCAAAATGTATTTCCAGAGCAGTAAATTTTTAACACATGAAAACATGCTAGCAAGTTCACATATGCACTTAGTTGGAATTAATTCATGCTACATGCCATACTTAGTACTCCGGAGAGCGATGTTGTAACACATGAAATCGATGGAAAAACCATATTAAAAGAAACCAAACTTGGTACTGGTGTCAAACAAATGTCTGATTAAGCACACTTATGCATTATTTAAGAATTAAATCTCATTGTTCATGTAAAATTAAATCCTGGACAGCATTGTTGTAATTTTTGAAGTGCTCGAAAATTTGGAATAAAATCCACCGAAGTTGGTACTAGTATCATCTGAATATGCAAACAAGCTCAAGTAAGCATCAAGTTGAAATTAAATCATCGCATATGTATGAAAACCATTTTCCGGATAGCATTGTTTATTGCACATGAAATGCTTTAAAAGTGGTTTAAAATCAACGAAATTTGGTACCAGTATCCATCAAAAGTTCCAACATGTTCGAAAATGTAACAACTGAATTTAATTCACATGTTACGGTATACTTGCAAATTCCATACAACATTATACATATGTTGATATTCACCAAGAATTGATTAAAAAAATCAAGGTTTTAATGCATTAAATTTGAATATCAACATATGAAAGTACAATCGGAATTTGCAAGTAAAATGCAATCGCAAAATCAGTATCGAACCATAATTCCAAGCATTGAAATAACACACATCTTACGCGTCGAAAGTGATTAAACAAGTTGTAAATTAATTCTGATTCATGATTTTAAGCATTTATCAAGAAAATATTGAACCGGGATCAATTTACGACACGTAAATCTTAACAATCAAGAACAAATGCAAATTTCGACACGTAAGCTTCACATGATTCTCAAACAATTAAGTGAATCCAAATAGTTCACAACATTGTCAAGGTTGTGATTCAACCAATTCCAACAAGATTCAACATAATTGAGATCAAAACTCAAATTAAATCCACAACTTGGAAATTTAACTCACGAACTCAATTAATCTTAAATCAGTTCAATAATTAACAAGATAATTGGAGTTAAGTGTAATTAAGATGAATTATCGAAAGTGCGAAGAGGAGTTTCAAGAGACTTGGTGATGACCCTAAAGAAGATACCAAAGTATGAATCCGGCGAGACGGAAATGGACCTCGTGAGCATCGCGCAGGAAATTAGTGTTGGGAGGGGAAATCGGTCGGCGGATCTTGGCAGCGAGATGTTGGTGATCTGAGGAGGTCGGTCGATGACTTCCAGTGATGATGTGTTTAGAGGTGGAGGTAGTAGATCGAAAGTTTGAAGGAGGAAGAGAGAAGAAGTTTTGATGAATTTGGGGATTTTTGTTCTTGAAATTTCTATGAATGTTCTTGGTGTCCTTGAGAAAAGTTGAGAGAGAGTTGAGAGAATTTGGAGAGTGAAATTTAGCAAATGAACTGAGTGTAGTGAAAATAGAGAGGCAAAATTAATATATAGTCTTAACAATTGGGCCTTGGTTTGGGTCAAGAGAAAGCCCAATCAATTTATTCACAAAGTTGAATTTTCAACTTCAACAAACACGGTCAAACAGAAAATCCACAAACTCAATGATAGTTTGCAAAATCTCGATGCCAGACCAAAAATAAAATCGTAAATGATGAAATTTATGACATCGTACCGAAAGAACGGGCGAGATACGATAAAAATCGAACGAGTTATGAATTTTCAAGTGGCAATAACATTTGACACTGAAGCTATCTTTTTCAGTAATGCGGAATTTTTCACTGTTCGGTTTGAGAAGAGAGCCATCAAACGAAGTCTTCGGAGCTGAATTCGACCTCGAGCTCTAAAGAAAACTTTTAGCTAACATCATTTGTGAAATTATGCCAAAAGAATCGTCTCGATACAATAAAAGTAGAAGAAGTTATGATTTTTACAATATCAAAAAATAGTAAAATAAAAATATGGTTCAGCACAATAATTTCTCCGGTAATGCGCCTTTCTGGGGACCTTCCTCTAAGAATCAGCCTTCCACCCGAACATACAAAATGAAGATAACATCAAGAAGGATTCGTCCAAAGAACCACTCAAAAAGGTTGAACCGGGCGGAAGTTATGAATTTTTGAACGTTTGAAAAATAACGATTCAGCTTACCGTTTTCATAGTATTTTCACTGTATCTTCTCAAAGTATTCGCACATTCAGAGATCTTCCTTACAGAATCAGCTTCCGAGTCGAACATACGAACTGAAGATGGTATTAAGATGGTTTTACCTCCTCAAGAATCGCTCTTAAACAATATTCCAATAAGAAGTTATGAATTTTTGATTACCCGTGAAACGATGGTCCATCAATTAAATTTAGTACATTATCTTCAAATAATTAAAATTCTCGGAGATCTTCTTCACAAAATTAGCCTTCGATCCGAACACGAGAAATGATAAGAAAATCAAGACGGACTCAATGCTCGAAGAATCAACTGAAAACACTGAATCAGATGAAAGTTACGAATTTCCGAACACCCGAGAAATAGATAACCAGTTATTAAATTCAAATACCGTTTCAGGGAAATCAAATTCTTTAGAGACTTTCTTCACAAAATTGGCTTCCGGTTTGAACAGATGAAATGAAGAAAATATTGAGACAGTTCTAACGCCTGAAGAACCATTTCAAAAGAATATCCCAACTAAAAGCTGCAGATTTCTAAGCTCAAACCAGCAAAAATGTTGTTTCTGGTTCGCACTGTCTCAAATTCCCCGAAACACCTAATTCCTCCGTAATTCAGAGTGTGTTGACATACATGAGAGCTTGACATGATGATGGCTTGATCGATTATTGCTTAGTTAGCATGGGAAACGCACATAACACATTTAAACTTCGAAAAACTTGAGTTTTGTCCAGTTATGCTGCCCGACAGAACAATCCTTTTATGTGTAGTTTCCGAAAAGAAATATCTTGGTCCCATTATCATTTACGAATTAATGATGCATACAATGCTAAATGATCTACTGAAAAATATGTATACGAAGGATGTGATATGCATAAATCAAATGATCCTTATAAAGAGATAAGACAAATTTAAGATATGACACCTTCATAGACATATTATCAATTTGTGCATTACTTCCGTAACCATAAATCAGCACATGAAATGTAAAACGAACATTCAAAGAGAATAACAACAACACAATTATATGATTTTAGAGAAAATGGATTAGACTATGGATTATTTGTATGGATAGTCTATAATAGATTTTAGTGTTGATTATTATAGGGAGTATCTATATTAAATCAATAATAATATATAAGTGAAAGAGACACTACATATTCATTTAAAACCTTAAAATAATAGATATATAATACGTATCTTAAATAATAATATATAAGTGAAAAAGACACTACATATTTATTTAAAATTTTAAAATAATAGATATATAGATACATATCCTTGAATGATTGAATAAACTTTTGTCATATTCGACCCCAGATCCATGCTTAATGTACAAATTATCTCCATTTGTGATTCGTGTATATCTAAATCGAATATTTCTTTTCAAGAATAAGAAAAATCAAAATGGGTAAATGACTTTATATACTCGTTTGTTGTGTTCTCTAGTGCCATATTATTGGAAAGAACGCATTATTATTATTTTTTTCACAACGGACAACAAGCATTATGCTATTCAATGATAGGAGAGATACTTATATGTTTATATCCACGTATTTATTTAAAACCTTAATTTCAAAGACATATATCATTTAATTATTTTCTCTTTTTTGTTGTTGTTCAGTTCGTCCAAAAAAAGTTCTATTGAGTTATGACTGGTATTTCTCAAAAGATATTTTTAGAAGTTTGTTAATTCAAATTTGTTAGAGGTAGTTAAGCTTGTTAGAAACTATATGTAACTATTTTTTGGTTTAGTTAAATCTTGTAACCTATGTGATGTTGGGCTAGAAAATACCAAGTGGAGAATAATGCACAATAATAATATATATAGAGAGAGAGAATAGGGTGGAAAATAGTGGCTTTCATTAAAATCTAATAGAGGTATTTATACATCATTACTCAATATTACAACTAATTGTCTTAGCTAAAAAAACAAAAATGGGTAGGTGGTAACTGGTTTCTGCAACTTGTAATCAATTACGAAAACTTATTGACATAGGCGGTAATTGGTTACACAAAAGTGGTAACCAGTTACAAGAAGCTATTGGATTTGGTGGTAACCGGTTACGTGTATCTGATAATCGATTATTTGAGCATTCTAGAACTTAGGGTAATCAGTTATATCTCCAAAATAACTGATTATGACCACTTCAATTACTATTTTCTCAACATATCACCGTCTTTTAAGTCTTCCATACTCATGTGTTTCTTCAGTCTCTTGAACGCTTCAATTAACACTCTATTGATTAGCAAATCGGCCACTTGATCTTCACTTTTGCAATGCCCCAACTTCAATTTTCATTCACTCACAAGCTCTCTCAAGTAGTGAAATCTCATATCTATGTTAGCAAATCTGGTAACTGATATATTTATTAGAATGAAATACTGCTATATAAATAGCTTACAAAAAAGGAAAACTGAACTGAATACTTCCTAAGAATCAGGGCCACTAAGTCATACTTGACTCCCTACAATTTAGGCTTAATTAAAACTAACAACCATGATCCTCTCACGATCAATAGAGACTAAGTCTGTTACATATAGCAAATAACAATTAATAACAATATTAATAATAACATAACAATTCTCCCCCTAAACTAGACTGTCTAGTTTATCTCTGAGATGTCACATACGCCAAGCTTCTTCCTGAGCTCTTGAAAGACTTCAAGCTTGAGCGACTTAGTAAAGATATCAGCTATCTGCTGTTTGGTGCCGCAATAATTCAATTGAACATTTCCTTCATTTACTAAATCACGGAGGAAGTGAAAGCGCACATCAATATGTTTGCTCTTACCATGCATAACCGGGCTCTTTGAGAGCTTGATGGTAGAACTGTTATCACAAAAAATCACTGGACTTTTGCTTCCATTGTAGTCCAACTTGGACAACACCCTCTTCATCCAAATCAGTTGGCAGGCACAAGCTGACACAGCTACGAATTCTGCTTCGGTGGTGCTGAGTGTGACTATAGGATGTTTCCTTGATGACCATGCCACCGCTGTATTGCTAAGTATAAAGGCATAGCCCGAGGTGCTTTTCCTGTCATCGATACATCCGGCATAGTCGTTGTTTGTGTATCCCACAAGCTCCTGATTGCCTGATCTTTGATAGAAAATCCCAAAACACATAGTTCCCTGCACATACCTCAGTATTCTCTTTGCTTCCATAAGATGCATCTCAGTTGGCTTGGCCATATATCTACTGACTACACTAACTACATACATAAGATCCGGCCTGGTAGTGGTTAAATTTATCAAGCTACCAACAAGTTGCTTGAACATGGAGTTGTTTACTGTCACACCTGTATCATCTTTATCAATTTTAACCCCAAGAACAGTAGGATTTAGGACCAAGTTGCTTTTATCCATTCCAAACTTCTTCAAGACCTCTTTGGCATATCTCTTTTGAGAGATGAAGATTCCACTGTCAATCTGCATAACCTCTAAGCCAAGGAAGAAGTGCATTCTTCCCAGATCAGTCATTTCAAATTCCTCCATCATTGATTGTTTGAATTCTTTCAACATAGCTTCATCATTCCCAGTATAAATCAAATCATAAACATATAGGCTAACGATCAAATGCTTCCCTTGTTGATTGATCTTGGTGAACAAGCTCTGTTCGCTTGCTTCTTTATCAAAGCCCATGTTTCTGAAGTATGCTTCAATTCTGCTAAACCAAGCTCTTGGTGCTTGTTTAAGGCCGTATAAAGCTTGTATACCTTAGTCGTCTCATGCTTCACTTCATATCTTTTTGGTTGATCAACATACACCTCCTCTGTAAGTTCACCTTGTAAGAATGCGGACTTCACGTCGAGCTGATACACAACCCAACTTCGTTGCGCAGCAAGAGCCAAGATCATACGCACAGTGTCTAGCCTTGCCACTGGCGCGTATACTTCTTCATAATCAATTCCGTGTTTTTGCGCATATCCCTTTGCTACTAAGCGAGCCTTATACTTGTCAATCTCACCATGTTGATTCAATTTTGTTTTATACACCCATTTAACCCATATGCTTGCGACTCCCTTTGGTAATTCAACTAGAGTCCAGGTTCCATTCTTTTCAATGGACTGAATTTCAGAATCCATGGCTTTCTTCCAGTTGGTATTTATCACAGCTTCCTCAAAGGATTGGGGGTTAATACATGCTGCCACATCAGAGTTTGAAACAACAGAGTTCACCACATAATCCTCCATCCACCTTGGAGCTCTTCTGCTATGTTGGCCCACTGCTGCAGATTTTTCTGTTGTAGCTACTACATTATCATCCTCAGTAGCAATCTCAGTCCCAGCTTCATTCT